GAATAAACCTTCTAGTTTGAATGCCAAATAACCCAGGGAGTCTGTTACGAAAGCAGAAAAAACTTGACCCCCAGAAAAAACTACTCTAGTTATACCTGCTCCTCGGTATTTCACATCTTTCAAGCTTCATCAACAGCAACCTGTTCAGAGATAAGTTCAGTTCCCAGAATACCTTTCTGGTTTGGATGCCAAATATCTTGAGGAGTCTACCAGAAATACAAAAAAGCTTGATCTCAAGAAAAATTGCCCAAGTTATGTCCACTTCTCGGTGTTTCATGTTTACAGGCTTTGTTGACAACTGCTTACACAAAGACAGAACCAAAATAGTATTTATCTTGAAACTTCCTATAGCATTTCTCTGTAGTTCGGTTTTTTGTTGTATTGTCTAGAGGATCGTCAGAAAGAGTTGTGATAAAAATGATTAGTAAGATTATTATTCTAATATGCTAGTTTGTATTTCTATATATGTTCTAAATATAATTGGTAGACTTGATATATATAATGCTATAAGCAATCTTTTAGTTATAGTATTTAAAAGTTGTCTGATTCTGGTTATATTTAAAATTTTAATTCTAAGTAAAATTATTTACATTTACACTTTAGCTTATGAATAATTTCACTTAATTCTTAATTAAGGTTTGCAGTAAACTGCTAGCTATAGATTCTTATATCTATACTTTAACTTGTAGGATACTTATCTTAAAATCTTTTTTAGAGATTATAACAAGTTACTAACTTTAATGATTGCTACAAAAGCAAAGGCTTTAAATATATCTTTTTGAGCAAATCTCTTTTAATTTGTTAAGACTTTTAAAAAAAACTATTACTATTTTAGTAATAGTAAAGAGAGGAGAGATCATAAATAAATATTTTTTTAATAATTTAATTTGACAAGAAGTCCTTTTTAAGAAGGAGAGTTTCTTTTAGAAAACAAGAATTTTCAATTCAAAGAGACAGAATTTTCCTTACAAACTAACAAAATTTTCTTTCTATCAGAAGACACCAAAATGTTACAAATGAACTATAACTTTTAAATACAGCACAAGTAATACAACACATGATTATAGTAATCTATTATAATAACATAACAATGTGAAAATGATATATAATTTCACTAAGAACAGTTCATGAAAAATATATAGTTAAAGAAAGATATATTTTATTTATGATAAAAGATTTTAATTACAAGAGAGAATATTTCTATAACTAAAAATGTCTGTATCTAAAGAAAATATCTAAATCTATCTAACAGAAAAAAAAAATACCAAGATTTATATATCTTTTTCCTAAACTAATAAAACTAATAGAAATAGTAAAAATAATAGAAATAATAAAAATGATAAAAATGGTAAAAACAGTAAAAATGATAAAAATGGTAAAAATAGTTAGAATGGTAAAAATGGTTGAAATGGTAAGAATGGTAGAAATGGTAACCATTCTATCAGTTTATAATGCTACACGAAACTACTACACAATAATATAATAATACAATAATAGAATAGAATATAATATAATAATAATGCTAATAATAATACTAATAATACTAATAATAAGAAAATAAGAAAACTCATTCTATAACAATATATTTAAAAATGTCTCTAAACCCCATATAGAAGTTTTTGCTAGCATACGTAGAGCGGAATTACGTTTTTAATAAAGTACCAAAAGGTAGATTCGATACGTATTTTTTCTTCTTCGACATTCATGAATGGCTAGAATTAAAAATTGTTACATTTAATATGCACAATACATATAGTTTGTTTATAGTGTTCAAAACTTTTTAAAAAAACATTATTTCTTTATTTATTTCGTTTCAAAAAAACAAAATTTTAATTTAATAACACACCAACAGTGTTTAATAAAAGTTGGTGGATCACTCAATCTCTTCCGACTTCAAACTTATGTTTTTAAAAATATATACGTATATAGAATTTTAATACGTAAAACAAAATGAATTTCCTAAAAAGTAAATTAAGCTTTTTTAAAATTAGAACACAAAAAGAAAATGTGTTTTAAAAACTTGTACGTACGTACGTACAAGTAACTCATGTGACTATTCATTTATTTGTTAACACTATTATTTTAACTAAAAGAAAAAAAAAAAGAAATGGGTACAATTGTTAATGATACCGATTCAACAGAAAGTAAGAGCAATAACCTCACGAATAATAATAATGACAAATCAAGAGAAACTGAAGATCTTTATTCTGATAAAATTCGGGATGGTCAGTGGTTTTGGAATACGAATACCGAGCAGATTTTTTCACAGGATCAAATAGTAGCAGTTGGTCATGCTTCAGCAAAATCGGTTGTTCCACTTGAACTTTTACGATATATATATTTACAACCTCACGATCGGATATACGATCCTAAAACACATACTATATCCTATTTGCAGACAAGAACTTATTTGCCCGTAAAATCTTTACCACCAAGAGAAAAAAAGAGGGTACTAGTTACAGGTGGTGCTGGCTTTGTTGGTTCACATTTAGTAGATCGACTAATGTTAATGGGTCATGAAGTAATTGTAATCGATAATTTCTTCACTGGTTGTAAAAACAATGTTGGCCATTGGATTGGACACCCAAACTTTGAACTTATTCGTCATGATGTAGTTGATCCTTTCTTAATTGAAGTTGACCAAATTTATCATTTGGCTTGTCCTGCTTCTCCTCCTCATTATCAATATAATCCGATCAAGACTGTAAAAACTAGTGTAATGGGTACAATTAATATGCTTGGTCTTGCTAAACGAGTCAAGGCTCGTTTTTTATTAACTTCTACTTCAGGCATGTACTTCCTTCCTATAATTTCTTTTACATTTTATGTATTTATTAATGAACTTTATACAATGATTGTCTCTTAGAGGTCTATGGTGACCCTGAAGAACATCCTCAAGCTGAAACTTACTGGGGCAATGTTAATCCAATTGGCCCAAGAGCATGTTATGATGAAGGAAAAAGAGTTGCTGAAACATTAACTTATGCTTATATGAATCAAGATTGTGTTGATGTTAGAGTCGCTCGTATTTTTAACACTTTTGGTCCTCGTATGAACGCAAATGATGGCCGTGTAGTGAGCAATTTTATCATGCAAGCATTAAAAGGTGAAGATCTTACAATATATGGTGATGGTCTTCAAACTCGATCGTTTCAATATGTACACGATTTGGTGGATGGTTTAATTTTGTTGATGAATGCTGATTATAAAGAACCAATTAATCTGGGAAATCCTGATGAATATACGATACGTGAATTTGCAGAGTTGATTATAAGTGAGGTTAATAGTTCATGTAAGATTAAAACTTTACCAGCTCCGAAGGATGATCCTAAAAAACGAAGACCAGATATTAAAAGAGCTGAACAAATTCTTGGATGGAAACCTAGATGGCCTGTTAAGCAAGGTATTGGAGAGACAGTTACATATTTTCAAAGGCAGTTAGAAGCAGGACTCATGTGAATCATCATATGAACCATTTATATGTAGTGATCGAATGTATAATAGTGCAGATTTCATATTAAAACATAGAAATTAAAAGATATCATTAGATAAATTTTCTAAATTTTTTATATTACATGTTTCATGTATTAAATAATCACTTCAATTTTTGTTACAATTATTGAGGCCCTTGTTGAATGAAGTCAGAATATTTAAATAAATACCAAAAAAAAAAAAAGAAATAATTTTTTTTTTATGATTTGACCTAATAGTCATTATAAATAACGTTCATTTCTTAGCACCCCATAAACTACCAAAAAAGCCACCAAAACGACCTGATCCATCTGGTTTTCTGCCGGCACGCTGGGAGAGAGATGAAGGGAAATCAACATGATTGAAGGCTATGTCAAAAAATAATGGTTTAGCAGGAATTGGTGTAAATTCCGGCGGGAAATTAATTAATTGCGGATTATTCATTGTTAAATTTGATGGATATTGGTTAAGACGTTCGATCAAAGGTGACTGTAAAAAAAATTGAAATATTAAAATAAAATGTGTTAAGATTGACATCAACATATTAAGATATTAAAATTTAGGTTTTACCTCTTCAATGATTTCTTTAACGTCAGATTTAGACTTTTCATCGATAGTCAACTCGCCCAATTTTTTTGTTACATCAGAATCGTCTGATCCACTATGCCGAAGATGCCACGTTGCACGTGCTTTACACCTGTAACTTCTAATAATATTTTCTAATTCTTCGACTTCCTTTAAGGTAACCACTAATATATCATCTTTATCAGGTACAGTTACTTGGGACAAATCACTTCTTGCTTGAGAATTGTACTCTCTGGCACGTCCAAGTAGGGATATTGCTTCCCAATCTTTGTTTAAAACTTCGTAAGCAGATGCAACATATAAAGTCCTGAAAAAACAGATAATTAAATTTTTTTTTTTTTTATCGACAAGGATAAAATTTAATTATATAATACAAACCTCCAAGCTTTAAAATACCAAATCTTTGCATCAATTTCTTGAGACAAAGCTAAACTATCCTGTACCGAAGAAAGTTCTTTAATCTCGTTTAAACTCTGCATATAAATAAACATATATATATGTGTATATATAGAGGTTAAACTAATGATTTATAAAAATAATATTATTAGTCAATTACCTGTAACACATTATCATATAATTTGACAATATCTTGATATTTTCCACAGATAAATCGTGCACCTTCTGAATGTTCTTGTTCTAATTTATGTCGAAGTGAATCAACAAGCATCAAATTTCGTTGAATTCTACGACTTAAATAGTTATATGCTACATAGTTATAAACGAAATTGAGATCCGAAGAAAATTGTTCCGATTTGGAAGATTTGACCTTTGCGGTCGCTTCCTACAAAGAAAGATAAAGTAGCGCTGAGTTAATGTGAACAGGAAAAATCAGCACAAGTATTTATCTTATCTTTTACCATATCCTCTTTCACGGCATTTTTTGCGAACCTTTCTGCATCTCCATAAGCCTCAAGAAGAGAGTCAAACATTTCCATTTTCATCGCCTCTTCTACATCTGCATCAGAAGCGTTTTCTAAATTTGTTGTTGCATCTTGAGCTTTCAAAATACAAATCGCCAAATCTGCATTTCTGAGTGGAACAGTATGACCTCGCCAAGTTATGGATGTAAGTGATGCTGCCTTTTCTTGACGCGTTTGAGCTAAAACGGACTAACAAGGCTTTAATATTCAGATTACAAAAAATTCATTGAGTTACTTAAATACTAAATATATGTACTTCCACTTCGGCTTCTAATAAATCCAAGCCAACACCTTTATTTTTTCCGATAGTCATCTTTACGAGACCTTCTACGTCGGAAGCACTATCAGCACCTAACCTTAGTACGTAGGCACAGTAACGGATATTAGGATCAATATCATCAATTATTGATTGGCAAAGTGTCTCTTGATGAGCAGTTCCTGCAGCGGACAATTTTTCATATATCGTTCTATAATAATATGCACATAATAATATACAATGATATATATAAAGAAACAATTGAATTTTATTGTATGTATAAAATTATGAAATTAGAAAAAGGTAATAATAAATAAACCAATAAATTATACCTTGCAGCAGCAAATTTATCTAAGGCAGCTTGCCATGATTGTCTCTCGAACAACAGGTAACCAGACATCAAAGCAGAATATGCCTTGAAAAATAATCTTCTAACGTTCAAAATTTTCCGATCGAACAAAATAAACATGTTTAACATCAAATGAAACCAACCTGAGCTTCCAAAACAGTCCGAGTATCGACTTTACCAGCTTCTCGTGAACACAAATTCTCTAGTTTTTCACCTAATTTTGCTGCTTTTTTCAATCTTTTAATTAAATGATGTTTTTTACGCGTATCACCACTAGATCGGGACTCTCTTTTCAATTCCATTGCATAACTCCAAGCACGTTCAACGTCAAATAATACAATATGCAAGAATCTGTATTTTATATAATATACATTAATTATATATGATAACAGATAATTATTTTGTCAAAATAGATTAATATATAATAATTACCTTACGTCATTGAGATCCGCCTCAGTTACCTCCCTTGCCTGAGTGAACTTACTACCTTTGCAGTGAACGAAGTTCACCGATTCACGAAAGCGATGGACCCTTTTTGCGCAATATTGTCTAATTTTCAAATAAAATCATATTAAATACAATTATATTAAAAACTTGAAATGAAAAAAAAAAGATTTATCATACCTATAACGCGAGTAATCCTGATGTCGAAGACCATAAGTATTTCGAGCTTCATTTATAAGAGCCAGAACTGAATTTAAATGCGTTAAGGGAATACTTCACGTACGAATCAAATATACAAGTAACAATGTAAGATAAAGGATACTATCAAGGGAAAAAGTAGATCCTTGATCCTTTATGGGCTCGTCAATATCCATACTATTGGCCTAGAGTAAACTTTGAAAAAAAATTAATCTAACGTTAAAATTTTAACCCAGGCCTTCTTTGAGCATTTGAATTATCACCAAATCTAGTTAGATGATCTCATTTGTAATACCCAGTACAAGCGATTTTTCCAAACTTGTCCAATTTTAACTTAAAAATTATTTATCTTTCGTGAAGTGACTACAATTTCATTTTTTTTATCTTTCTAAATGGAGGACTTTGTAAAGCTATCGATTTTTGGAACCGTATTCGAAGTTACGACAAGGTACTTATTCAGTCTAATAAAAGTTGGTTTTATATTTATAAATACTACTAATTACCCTTTGAGCTTAGATATGTGGATCTTCAGCCAGTTGGAATGGGCGCCTTTGGCTTGGTTTGGTGAGAACTTTTTTCAGAAGTTTTGCTAAGTATTAACGCGTAATTAACACTAAAAATTTGAAACATACGCTTTTTTTAGTTCCGCAAAAGACCAACTAACCGGCACTAATGTCGCGATTAAAAAGATTATGAAACCTTTTAGTACACCTGTTCTTTCTAAAAGAACATACCGTGAACTAAAACTATTAAAACATTTGAAGCATGAGAATGTTGTATTTTATTTCCTCCTAAATTGTTTATTTTAAGTTCAACCAGTAACAAAATTTTCCATTGTCAGATTATTAGTTTGAGTGATATTTTTATCTCACCGTTAGAAGATATGTACGTTATAACCTTTGCATTAAATGAGTTTTGGTAAATTATCATAAATCTTATCAGTTAATTTTTTTATCTCAGATATTTCGTTACTGAATTGTTAGGAACTGATTTACATCGACTATTAACATCTCGTCCGTTAGAGAAGCAATTTATTCAATACTTTTTATATCAAATCTTGGTGAGAATATCGTGTCATTGCTTATCAACTAATGAATAATTTATTAATAGAAAATAAATATATAATATATATAATAGAGAGGTTTGAAATATGTGCATTCTGCTGGTGTTGTGCACAGAGATTTGGTTTGTTATCAAATATTATTATCTTTAAAAAAAATTTATTTGATTTTATTTTATCTTATTTTATTTTCTAAATGGATTATTTTCATAGAAACCTAGCAACATTTTAGTTAATGAAAATTGTGATTTGAAGGTATATGTATTATTTTTATTGTTTTTAATAATTAAGTGACACATTATTCATTATGACTAAAAAAATATGCATGTATAAAATAATATGTCGTAGATTTGTGACTTTGGCTTAGCTCGTGTTCAAGATCCTCAAATGACAGGATATGTCTCAACGAGATACTATAGAGCACCGGAAATCATGCTTACATGGCAAAAATATGATGTAGCAGGTAATTAATAATTTTAAGATGTCTTTAAATGAATTTACGCATGCAAAATCAAAATAATAATCAAAAAGTCTCTTAAATTAGTCGATATCTGGAGTGCAGGTTGTATTTTTGCTGAAATGTTAGAGGGTAGACCACTGTTTCCGGGCAAAGATCGTAAGATTTTAATATTAATATCAGTTTGTATATTGATTGTTATTGTTGTTATTATGGTTTAATATACCTTTTTTTGTATTTAGATGTTCATCAATTTTCCATTATCACCGAGTTACTTGGCACACCGTCAGATGACGTCATTCAAACAATCGGTAGCGAAAACGTAAGTTTTTTTTTGGCATTACAACATTTGACTTTTTATGAAAATAACATTTTTAACATTTTCTTTCGTAATTCAGACACTACGATTTGTACAATCCTTGCAAAAACGTGAAAAAGTACCATTTTCTCAGAAGTTTACCAATGCAGAACCTGAAGGTAATCATATACTTTTTCGTCTTGGTAAAATTTCAACAATTCATGTTTACATTTGAAATTTCCATGTAGCGTTGGATTTACTTGAAAGAATGCTTGTATTTGATCCAAGAAAGCGTATTACTGCTTCAGAAGCTTTGGCACACAAGTATTTGGAACCCTACCACGATGAATCAGATGAACCTGCGGCAAATGAACCTTTCGATTGGTCTTTTGATGACACAGACCTTCCTGTTGATGATTGGAAAGTGATGATGTACAAAGAGATTTTGGGTATTTACCAATTTGATAAGTTCTTCGGATATACTAAAGCATACAATGAACAATGTATATTTATCAAATTTTTTTTTGTTCATGCAGATTTCCATAATGTTGACGGACAAGGTTATAATATGGAAGGCACTAACGACGTTAATTTTTAAATATATAAGTCATGACCGAGAAGCCACCAAAGTATTTAATTGGTAAAGTACATGAGATAAATTATTAAGCTTGCTATTATTTAATATAGTATATTATCTATTTTTGACTTATGTACGCTATTCATATATATATTACCGATCAGTCCTATTCATATATATATTACCGATCAGTCCTTTTTAACTAAATAAGATACATAAGATTAATTTAAAGTTTTAAAATTGAAAATTTATAAAATTAATAATTTGCAAGTCTTGGTACATTCGCCATAAATTTACACGAGTTTTTTAGCTTCGAAAAATCCTTTCAAATGTCGCATTTGCCATAAACATGTAATTCCAAGAACCACCAATTGAACTATAGTCCAAAAGACCACTCGTGAATTAGTAATTTCAGATTGATCACGGAATTCAGCCTCACGTTCCTATTATATATACATGAAATGAGAATCATCATAATAGCGACAGTAAAGACATACATAAACTTGAGTCATTTATACATACGCGTTGGTAGCTTTGTTCCCTACGAATATCAGCAACACGACTATTCAATTCACTAACCCTTTGAGCGAGATCTAAATTATAAATTCGTAAAAATTTAACACCTAATAGTAGCAATTATATTGTGAAAGCAAATTATAGGAAAAAATAATTTACCACTAAAATGTTCTTTGTCATTTTCTTCTTCACTTGTTGCTTCACCAATAACTATATCCAAATGTAATTTCTTTTTGTTTGTTTATAAATGAGAAATTGAAAGCAATTTATTCAAAATAATAAACACCGAAAAAAAAAACCCCCCAATAATATACTAACCGTTTGACTATTTGAAAACCAAGAACTTGAATTGGTTGATAAACAAATAGCATGATCTCCAGACTCGGCAGCTGTAAAGGTAAACCGACCACGACTTGGTCCTTTTTGGTTTATTATACGATGGATATGAGGTAATTCCTTTAAATCGTTAACGTTTTTAATCGACAATTATTATATCAACTTTCAGTAGAAAAAGTTATATTAGAGCGGATTTAAATAATCACCTCTACGGTAATTTGAATACCAAGTTTTGGATTTTCAATAGATTGCTGCTGTGTTTCAGACCATTCTTCTGCTTTATAAGTACCTAATATTAAGTAATTAATTAGAAATAATTAATGAGTATACTTTAAGAAGCTTCCACCTTTAGTAGTTAACATCAAAAATACTAACCAACAACCAGAGTATCTCTCGGTAGTTCTTCAATAAAACATTTTTGTTCTGTACCTTCCAAATAGAAATATAAAGCCGTACATGATTCAAAAAGTGAAGTAACTACCAGTAAAATAACTATTAAAAAGATTTGACACTTCATTTTGCCACTTTCCCTTCTGCTGTGAAGTATGCAAAGTAGGACAGTTTATCGATAAAATTTTGTTTTTACAATAATAACATATGCGGTCATAGCCATTCTGAAAATCAGTCGTTACGTACCAAAATATCAATTATTTTTT